TCGGCGCAGGTCTCTTTATCGGAAGTGGTGGTGCTTTTCAGACTGGAGGTCCTGGTGCCGTGCTGATCGGTTTCATGATCATTGGTGAGTGCCAGACGATTCAACTTTCCATTGACAATTCTAATGTTTCACAACAGGTGGCATGATGTACGATTCACCAATTCCTGGTGACGGATCTCCCGTGGCAATATTCTAACCATCGTGTTTAGATACCTCATGATGCAAGCGCTGGCCGAATTGGCTGTCATGTACCCCATCAATGGAGCATTTACCATGTACATCTGCAGATTCATTGACCCGTCGTGGGGATTTGCTTGTGGATGGGAGTACGGCATAGGTTGGCTCACTGTGCTTCCTTTCGAAATTTCGGCAGCTTGCAATGTAAGAATGATCCTGGGCATGTTTGATCAGATCTGACGCCAACAAGATCATACATTATTGGACAGCTGTAGAGAACGTCAACGACTGCGCTTGGATCATACCGCTGCTTTTCCTCCTCACCATCATCCAGTACTTTGGAGTGCGAGGCTATGGAGAGGTGGGTGATTACACATGGATGATCAGTATTCGCTACTCACCAGATTAGGTCGAGTTTGTCCTCAGCACAATGAAAGTCATTGCCTGCGTGGGATTTATGATATTGGGAATCATCATCGACTGTGGCGGTGTACCAACCGACCATAGAGGCTACATTGGGGCCAGATACTGGTATGGATATTTTTGTGAGATCTGGCCGACACGTACTGACTGGATGGACTTATACTAGGCATCATCCATACGCTGCATTCCTCAATGGCTTCCATGGATTCTGTACCGTCTTTGTCACAGCCTCGTTTGCCTTTGGCGGAACCGAACTCACTGGACTAGCTGCTGCCGAGACTCGGGACCCTAGGAGGGAAATTCCCAAGGCTTCGAGGCAGGTTGTCTGGCGCATTTGCATCTTCTACATCATCAACCTCTTCCTTGTTGGCCTGATTGTCCCTGCAAACAGTCCGCTCTACAGCGGTGAGGGAGCCGAAAGTCGGCACTCGCCGTTTGTGATTGCTATCCAACTTGCAGGCATCAAAGCACTCCCGTCAATCTTCAACGCCATGATTTTGATTTCTGTGATGAGCGTTGCCAACTCGTGCACGTTTGCCTCGACCCGAACCTTTCAAGCGTTGGCTCAACATGGTAAGCCTTACGACATCCAGGCCAAAAAAGGCCTTAACGCTGACTACCGTGGACAGGCATGGGCCCAAAGTTATTCGCCTACGTCGATAAGAAGGGCCGTCCCGTTGTCGTCACCATCCTTCAACTTCTTTTCGGATGTTTGGCGTTCCTCAATCTGGATAAGACTGGAGGAGGCAACGTCTTCAACTGGCTCCTCGCACTGTCCGGTCTCTCTTCGTTCTTCATTTTCGGCAGCATCGCTGTAGCCCACATCCGCTTCCGGGCCGCTTGGTAAGATGGTCCCAGTCCTCTTTCAAAAACGTCAGTGTTTCAACTCCCCTCTAAATCTATATTTCGCAGGAAATACAACGGCCACAGCGTCGAGGAACTCCCCTTCAAAGCCGCGTTCGGCATCTACGGCTCTTACGTCTGCGCCATCATGAACTTCGTCTGCTTGGCCGCCCAGTTCTACGTCGCCCTCTATCCAGTCGGCGGGCCCTATCTGAACGCCAACCTCTTCTTCCAAGCCTATCTCGCAGGCCCGTTCCTCCTTTTCCTGTACGTCCTCTGGAAGGGCTATTCCTGGTTCAAGGTCAAGGAGCACCGTCCGTTGTACGTCAAGATCAAGGATATCGACATCTACACGGGCATGCGCGAAGGACAGGCTGAGCTCATCAGCGGGCCGGGAGTCACGGCGGAACAGCGGAGGGAAAGCATCGTCGAGATTCAGGCAGAGCAGAAGAAGAACGGCGTCATGGATTGGACAAAGGCTGTCGTCAGATCTGTATTCTAATCCGATCCAAGCAAGTGGGTCTCGGTTCAGTCAACGTCAACTGCACTCTGAAACCCCTCGAATTGAGGCGGATCAAGGTTTGAACCTCGAAGAGGGCAGCAGGTCAATGAAAACGACAGGGTCTACTTGAGCCTTATTAAGATAGCCGAGAGAAGGCGTGGTCCATGATGAAGAAAAGGAGAGACAGGCGGGGCCCGAAAGCATTCCGAAAACTGCGAAAATAACGGACATACTCACATGCATATACATATCTTCTCAGGCTGAGGATTTAAATTCATTCTTCGAATTCAACAAAGATATTTCGCTCCTCGCAATCCTCGATGCCGGATTGTATTCGTCACTTTCCTATCCCCCAAGGCCCTCCCTGGGCCTGGGGCATCGTCCTCGTGTTCACAAAATCCACCAAGTCAAAGAAAGCCTTCTTGTAGCTCCTCGCCTGCGTCGTCCTGTTGACGGCCTGCAAACCGAAATGCGCGCCGTAGTCGCCAAACTCCCAATTATCCGCGAAGCTCCACGCGAAGGCGCCCACGACGGGCACGCCGTCCTCCCATATCGACTTCAGGACTTCGGCCATGTACGAGAGGTAGTAGCTGGAGCGAGGCATGTCGTAGAGTTGGTCGCTCAACGCGGTTTTCTCGGCCTCGGCGAAGACGGGGAACCCAAACTCTGTGATCACGATGGGGCTGTGGAACGTGTTGTACAGGTACGAGAGGTACAGGCGCAGGTAGCGCGGCGTGATGTAGACGTAGGATTGCGAGCGGTAGCCGATGTTCCACCCCGTGGTGGTCAGTGTGCTTTGATTGACGCAGTAGGGAAAGTATGTGCTCGATGTGTTGGAGCAGCATTCGAGGATCGAGTCGGTGGAATTCATCACTGGTGGAGACACCACGGTCGCCTGCTCGAAACTCTTGTTAGCTTACAGCTGTGAGAGTGACAGAATCATCGGCCGCTGAACGAGTGTGCTCGCAAAATGAGAAGGGGACTTACAGTGTATGGGTCAATACCGAGAAAATCGGCGGTGCCATTGATATATGCCAGATCCTCTGCAGTGAGAGGCACGTAATCTGGAACCGTCCGCTTGTAGCTTTCCGGATAGTCCTGTCCCAGGAATATCGGGTTACAGAACATGCCAAGTTGGAACGAATTGAAATGATCGGCTGCATAGACGTCGTTTGGATTGGCAGGATCGCGCGGCACGCCAAAGTTGTCGTTGAATTTGAGGGAGATCTTTCCCGTCCCGTTGATCGATTCTTTGTAGAAATGGTAAACCTGGGCATGAGCCTTGATCACATGGTCGACCGACAAGCCGTTGAAGGCATATATGAACGGCTCATTGAACGTGAACCAAATGGGCACGCGGTCTGCATAGTGCGTCATGACAATCTTTGCATAATTCACGTAGGCCTCGACGAACGTCTCGTTCTGATACCCGCCGTTTGAATAGCCGATCAAAGGCTTCGCCTGGGCCGCCGAGAAGTTTGCGGCAAAGAACTGTGCTGGAGTGTCGAAATGGAGAATGGTGACGACGGGGATCATGCCTTTCTCGAGCGCAAAGTCGATCAGGTCAGAGTAGTGGTTGAGTCCCTGCTGATTGACAGGAGTTCCCGGGAGCGCAAAGGGCAGGATTCGACTCCACGCAAGACTGAAGGAATAGTACTTGACACCCATCGACGCCAGCCTTTCAATTTCCTGCTTGTAGTAGTAATAGTTTTCGTTTGTGACGTAGTCCTTTGGTCGATCGTCCTGGATCAAGATGTCCATGAGCGAAGGGGATTTGCCTTCGTCCGCCGTGGCCCCTTCGATTTGAGCGGCTGATCCTGCAACTCCAAATTGAAAATCGGCCGGGAAGTAATAGCAATCTGTCGGTCCGAAGTAGTCTGGAGGAGGCAGAACGAGCTCACTTGTTGGGATCGGAGTTGGTGAGACGGTAGTGCTGAAGACTGATGTCTCAGTGAAATTGGGAGGATTGGCCGACTTCCATAATGCGGTCCACGCCGCATTTCCGTAGGGATTGTCTGTGTCCGTGGCCGAGACTGTGGCATTAGGATCCCACTTGCCCCAGGTTGTGTAAGAAAGCGAGGAGATGAGGCTTGTGAGTGAAGCAGCGGGCGGCGCATACGTGGTGGTAGGGCCTGGCTGGACTGACGTGGCCGTCCGTACTGTCTCAGTCATGGAATATGTAAACGTAGAGTATGGCGAGTATGTGGGCTGGGAGTAGGATGGTGTGTCCGTGCATTGAGGTCTTGCTGATGTGCCTGCTGCCGGAATATAGATTTGTTGTGCAGTGGCCGAGCCCAGCACAAACAGCAACAGAGCTACCCAGGATGCCATATTGGATTGTAGGGAGCTTTCGATTTGCTTTGCACACTCCTAGAGCCATGGTGGACGTCAAGGGCATTTGTATCCGCTCGGGGGACCAAGTTTGTGGTCTTGAACGGCGGTTGTTAGCAATCGTACTGAACACAGCAAAGAGATTGCCGCCGCAGTGTAACCTTCTCCGCAACGAGCTGGCAAGACTGGGGCCCCGGATCCGGATTTTTCTAATCTAACAGCAACGACGTCGTCATGGTCAAGAGTACTTTGGTGGACTCGCCCTGTCTTCAGCCGAAAAGAAGGAAGGTGGATTTGGCCTTTGCTCTACGTGTTGGGGCCCTCGCTTCGGAATCCCCCATGCAGACAAGACGATCGTCTGGTAGCCGAGAGATCGACAACACGTTGACCAAAGAGTCAGTGTCTTTGAAGATCAAACCAATATGTCGGGGGAAGGAAAAGCGAGGTTGGAAATATCACCCGCCCGATATGATTCGCTTTTCGTCCTGCTGCTCTGCTCAATGTAGCTGGCGGTCGGCTATGCACAGGGCACGTAGATTCCAAGGGGCAATAGTAAATTCAAGCAATAACACATCCTCGAATCAAGTTGTTGACGGTCTCCGCGGGGGATGGTGGTAGAATCTAGAGGATGCCTTCCTTCTGTTGACAACTTAATATATAAATATTGCATACTACCCAGGCAATCCTGTCCTTAACGTACGTCCGCTTCCTAGCTACGTACTAGCTAGCCCAGTCTGATCCGCGTCCGTGTCTTCTGCAGCTCGAGCTGCCTCAGGAACACGGGAAAGTCGTTCTTGGGGGTAGCCAATCTGATCTGCTCGCACTCATCATCCCACACGCGGTGGGCGAGATTCACGAACCCGATGCGCTCAGCGGAAGCGACCCCGTCCTCGTCTCCGTTCCTGTGTGGCTGCAGTGTCTTGAAGGGGGATAGCACCACGGCGCAGAGGTCTGTGAATTTTTTGTCGTATACGTCGTGGTTGGACCCGACCCAGCGGTAGTATGCTAGCTGGCCTAGCACCAGGCACTCCCATGACGACGACGAAGACGAAGGGGGAAAGCCGGTGGCGTCGACATCGCCAGAGAGCTGCAAGGGTGAGTAAATCGCGTAGGAGTCGTGACATCGGACGTACAGCCCAGGCCGGTAGGGCCCGTCGGGCGCGTAGGCCCAGGAGTGCTGAGGCGGGTCATCGAGCCACTCGAAGCGAAGGGAAACGGTGTACGCGTTGAGATGGAGGAAGTTTGATAAATTATTCGCTGGCAAACGGTCGGCGACAATCATGCTTCTGAACTCCTTCCATGGGGTGAGAGCCCCATCAGTGGTCTCGACAGAGGCTTCCATGCTCTCGGCAGTGAACGTTGGATGGTACCAGTGCTGCACGCCGCTGAGCTCCAGGTACGAGACCTCTCCGATCCAGCCAGCCCATGACCAGCTGGGGAACCCCTGACGGCGATGAGAAGTTCTAACGTGATACCAGAGGAAGCTATACTGCAATGCGCCGTCGTCGGCCGGGGAGCCTTCTCGTGCGATGACGGCCGGAAGCAGAGCGCCCATGTATTGATACAGCACTTTCGCGTGGGCCATGGCATTGAAGAGACCCTGCATGGCCTGGATCACGTCCGATGAGAAGGACAGCTGACGCCGCGAGTAGTCGTTGAGCTTGTAGATCTCGTTGAACGCGCTGGTCAGCGAGCTGTGCGTGTGGATGCGTCCAATGTTGCTGAAGGGGTACTCCCCCCAAGCCTCGGCGTGGAAGACGTTCCACCGCTGTTCCATGTAGACCTGCAGGTCGGTGAAGATCAGGCGCGATCCCGAGAATATCATCTCCTGGTACGTCCATGCTCGGGTGTTCCATTTGGATTTCAGGACCAGGGCCGGTCCATCCGGCATGGTCCAGGTGAGCAGGTGCCGGTCGACTTGTGCGCATGGTTGCCGGCCATTTGCCCTCTTCTTGGAGACACCGGGGAGCCCATGGTCTGCGCCGTGACCTGCTGCGGCGAATATGGTGAGCGAAGCACTGCTGTAGATGGGGCCCATTTTCTTGATCTGGGCGGCCTTTTCCGCCAAGTCGGTTTGCGAGATGCAGTACCGATCGACCCACAGGTAGGGTATCCCAACCCGTTTGGCGACTGTGAGGGCATCCCCAACCACACGCGGCAAATGCTTCGGCAGCCGATCGCCGTCCGGAACAGACTCGTCTGATCGACCCCAGACATAGCTCAGTGTGGCATATGGACAAGCTTCGGGCGGCTTGACGATCTGGCCGGTCGAACAGTCGATGAGCCTGAAGTGAGGATTGTCCTCGAGAGACAAGCCACTCCAGTCCCTGGTGTGGTTCATTCCGCTTTGCTGTATCCAGCTCCTGATGAAGGAAAAGTCGACATGGTCCCCTACCAGCCCGACAGAATGATGCCCCACCGAACTGTGGGCTTTCGCAGCCGCCCGGGATATAAACCCCGACGACGCGCAGTCTTCATCCAGCGTGTCGAGCGAAGGTGTGGGTAGGACTGCCAGGCCTGTCGATCGATAGCTCTTGAACGCGCGGAGGGTATAGCGCGTAGTTGCATCGTACTCGGCAAACTTGTTGTTGTGTATGGTCATAAACAGATAGCAAAGGGCACATTGGGTCGGATTCCACGTCGCCGGCGTGTCCAGGGCAGCAACCTCCCAGTTGGTGTCTCGCAAGCTGTAATCGTTTTCTATCTTGCTTAGACGGGCCAGGCTGTCGCCGATGCCTTTGCGCAGTCGTAGGCATCGCCGGCAAAGATCTTGTGCTTTTGGAGGATTTCCTGGAATGGTTGGGGTTTGGGGATGGTCCTCGCAATAGCGGATCCAGCGTCGATAGGTGTCGTTCATGGCTTCACCGCCGAACTGATTTGGGCCAACAAGAGTAGGAATCAGTCAGTGTCTCTCTCTGGGCATTCAGAAGGATTTAGAGCATTCCAGCTGGACGACCGTCGGCTAACTTTGAGTCAAGCCGCAAGGGGAGAGATGCAGCAATGCAGCAATTGGACCACTGTACGTACATTGCGGAGCGCGGCTATCCTATCACTCCGGTCCACGTCGATGGAGCTGGTGTTTCGGGAGGAGCACAAGGGACTCGAGGAGGAGCCATGGAAAGGAGCGTGAGTGCCGCACAAGAGAATGGTTGTCAGAATACATAGCCAGCGAGCCAGTCTCTGGAATATCCCTCCCTGGTCCGTAGATCCTTGTAGTCCGTCATTGAAGCACCACTCGGTCGATTTATGTGGGGGACTATGAGGCCATTGAGACATTTCAACTAGAATTTGGCAGCGAACTTGCCCCGCTGCTGGTGCAATACACGGCACGCTTGATGGGGATATATACATATATACACCGAGGTAGCATTCTGTATAAGAATGTGACCGGCTCGCTCTTGAAGAGGGCTTTGAAGCAACAACCACGACACCACAGGTATGCATGATATGATCGACTGAGTTGAGGACCTCTGCATCTATCTATCAGTTGACATGTTGACCTGCTGGACCCATTGTTGACTTGACAAATCCTGCCCGCCATCTATGTATCCGTACCCGATTCTATCAGAAAGGTGATTGAATTCTGTCTTTTTTTCCCCAACACAGAGACCCGTGCCCAATATCTCCCTGCTCCACGAATAAGTTTGAAGAAAACGTAGTCCGCACTTGGCCCAGCAAGGTATCAAAACACAGCACAACTCCACGATTAGCGTAATAGTAGTACATCCACCCAACGAAATTCAAGCCTAGGCTTCAAGCCACCCATGACGGTCAGAACCGGGGTGCTGTAACGAAGCGTTCAGTGGGAGGTCGCTCTGCCGGCTCCACAGCAGCTTCCTCTGTTGTTGTTCCGGCAGATGATGCCATGGCAGCTTCTTCTCTCTTCTCCGCCGTGTTGGAATCCCCCTTTTCCTGATGAATAGATTGATCGCTCTCGGTGTCCGAATCATCCGTGGAAGGAGTGGCGCGACGATCCTTTTCTGAACCACCAAGCACGGCAGTACCCTTCTCGTCAAAGTTGGTAGCACCGCCGACATGCTGCTGCTGCCCTTGGCTCGCATTGCTCAGAGTTTTCACCAATGCCTTGCTCTTATCTGCATCTTTGCCGCCCGCATATTTCTTCCCCTTCGGCACCCTAGCCAACCAGTAAATCGTCACCGCCGCAAAGACATTAAAGGCAATATACACAAACAAAATTCCAAAGTCCCGCCATCTATGCGAGAACGAGATGCTGACTAATGACAAAAACGTGTTGGTATTGTCAACCGTGCAGAATTGACACTGTGTAGTATCTGAGTCTAGGAGATAGCCGCCCGATGTTGAGATGAAAGGGTCAAGATATTGGCCGCACGTTTGGCCGGCAGGGGCCGTGAGATGGAGGTATTCGTTAGCGGCACATGTAACTGGTGCGTTCGCAATTCCCACGCTTAAGAGGCCTTCGACCAGATACGTGAAAGGACTAGAGTTCACGGGTAAGCCTCCATTCAGGCCCAAGAGAAAATCTGTCACTTACCTCACTCGATACATAAAGATCCAGAACCCGGGCATGGCTTTTGGACCAACCAAGACGCCATTGAACAGCAGACAGAGCGAAAACAAGACGTTTGCGATATTGGAGGCGGTCTCTGCCGTCGCAATCCCTGCAATCATCCTGCCTGGTCGTTAGCACTGAATTTCCTTTTTGGGGAACGACGGCGGTAAAATCCTCTTCCAACACTTTGGGGTAGAGACTTACATATGGGCGAAAGTGCTGCTGAACAGGATAAATTCCAACACAAACAAGAATTGCGTTGCTCCGCGTGACGCCACGGAATCGGTGTACGTCGCGTTTTGGTAAAGTCCAATGGGATAATACCAACAGAAGAACAATATCACTGCTCCCAGCGTTGCCCAAGGAAGCTCGACGAGGATATTCGATAGCATAAATGCCTTCCATGAGTAGGTCTTTGAAGGTCGCTCACGCACTTCGTAAAGGCTGCGCTGCGTGACGAAAAGCGGCATAATTTGCTGAACAAGCTGCGAGAATAGGACCAACAGCATGAAAATGCCGAAAAGCTGGTTTTGAAGCCCTTGTTGAGTATTTGGTGCCTTGAAGAGCGAGAAACCGATAAAGAGACCCTGCCGATGTCGTAAGTATCACGGAAATTAGAGCCCAGGGCAGTACATACTGTGAGGCAACAAAGTAAGAGCTTCGAGTAGATGTATTCCGGGGTCCTCCAATATTGCTGGAAAACTCGTTTCTGTGTTTCCCAAAATTGCAAGAAGAAAGGCGCAGCAAACTCGAAATAATCTGCCTTGTTCGACGAAGTGGGGGCCACCATCTGAGATCGTTCAATCTTCATCTCCTCTAATTCTCGCTGTACTTCCTGGTACTCCGGTGAGTTGCGCCAGACTTGAAACCAGTCGATATCGGAATGAGACCCGGGCGCTGCACCAATCGCTTCGAGCATATATTCGGCCGGGTTGGCGCCAGGTGGACAGTCGTGAGCGCCGTTTCTTTGGAAATAGTCAATCAGGATGCTGGAATCCTTGCCAACTGGACCAAAGTACACGGTCTTGCCACCGGCCGCGAGAAACAGAAGTCGGTCGAATCTCTGAAATAGAATAGCTGATGGTTGGTGAATAGTGCAAAGAATCGCTTGGCCAGCCTTTGTGAGCTTCTCGAGAAGGTTCAAAATGGACCAGGAAGTCTGCGAATCGAGTCCTGATGTAGGTTCGTCCAGGAAGAGAAGAAGTTGAGGTCGGGCAGCAAGCTCCACTCCAATTGTCAATCGCTTCCGCTGTTCCACGTTGAGGCCTATAATGTTTCGAGTCAGAACACAACGACAAATAGAATCAGGGATTGGTGAACAGATCGACATACCTTCACCTGGAACACCGACCACAGCATCGGCGTACTCCTGCATATCCAACAGTTTGATGACCTCTTCAACATAGGCAATCTTTTCATCTCGAGGCGTGTCTCTCGGTTGTCGCAAAAGGGCGCTGAAACGCAAAGCCTCTCGTACAGTGCTGGTCTCAAGATGCAAGTCCTGTTGTTGCACATAACCCGTCTTTCTCTGGAAGGACTCGTCGCGTTGCCGCCCATCGACCAGCATCTCGCCCGTGATAACGCCCATTGTTACACGGGTCGCGAGACAGTCGAGTAAAGTGGTCTTGCCGGCACCTGAAACTCCCTGTTTGCAAGTATTAGCGCAGATCGAAACTCAGGATCGACAAGGTAACACATGCCATTAGCGCTGTCATTGTCCCTGGTTTGACCCAACCGTCGACATGATCTAGAATGCGACGCGGCTGGCCTTTAATCTTGATGTCATAGCAAACATCCTTCCACTGGAAGATTGCCGTCTGCTTCTGAATCACAGCACTGACTTGTCGCGTCAACTGTTCGTCCTTCGTCTGCCTCCTCTCGAGAGCAACCAGGTTTGGATCGGAGCCTCCCGACTCCATATCGGACATGTGCTCTTTCAAGAATGCCGGTTTGTGGCCTCGGCGGAAGAGCAGCACTTCACCCTTTGACTTTTTCGCCGTCACCGTCTCGGTTGCAACCAAGTACAAAACACAGAGGCCAATCATAAAGACGAACAAGATGCCGATGTTCCGCCACTTGTGCGCCGCAAAGTATCTGTAGGAGATGTTGATATAAGCGTCGCCATCGACAAAGGGTCGTCCAGCCACAGATCCAACGACAGTACATATTTGTGAGGTGGTCGACCCGTTTCCGAACCGTGGCGCAGGAGGGACGAAAGTCGAACAGGGATAGTCACGATTGTGGAACTCATTCACCATGAGACTCTCAAATCCATACGCCGTTGGATTGATGTAGTTTATCCAACGGGCCCATCCATGCATATAGTCCACAGGGATAACGAAGCCTGATTGAGCGTCAGATCACAGCCTTGCTAAACTCGGGTATAGGAATTCCGAAACGGGGATTAAAGGTACTCACCGGTGTAGACGACAATAGCTATCATCAAAACAGCTGTTGGGACCAAAGCTTCGACCAGTGACCTCGACACTGACGCGATGAACCGGAACAACATGCTCATGGTAAAAGTCAAGATGTATGAGGTGAACAGAAAGAAAAAGAAAGCACCAGGTGTCCGTCGGAGATTTGTCATGAAGTAAAGAATTAGGTTGAAGCCAATGGCGTTGAGAGTCTTTGAAGGGACGTCTGTGAGCATTGATGCAAAGGCCTCTGCCGAAGGGTGGTAAAGTGCGTATCGCTGATGTTTTTCAACGATCGGGCGCTGAGCGTATAGCGTCAGGATCTCGAGGGCACTGCCAAAGGCGTTGAGCAATACTGCAAAAAAGATGAGTGAGCTTCTGGATCGCAGTGAATCGGTATTCGCCGGTAGATTGTAGAACAATGAAGAGACCACAAGCGCGTTGATACAATTGGCGAAAAGTTGTGTGAGAGTAATGGCGGGATCATCCATGAGTCGCTTGAAGCCCCGCCATAGACACAGTCTGATCTGGCCCCCATATGACAACGTGTATGGAGAAGACTTCCGCTGGGCTTTTGACTGTTGGACGCGACGGGATTGCTGGAAGGCTTCCAGATTGGGCCCTCCAATGGGATTAGCTTTTTCGAAGGCATTCAGCTCCCGCAACATTTTTTGTCGTGCTTCGCTCTGCTGCCATCGTTCGGCGAATTCGTCGGGGGTCCGCGGCACTTGCGACTCGTATCCCTTCTTGACTAGACGTTCAATCGGATTGGTCATGGACGTAAGGAAGTCAGGGACTGTCTGACGTTTAGCGCACTCGAAGCCCATGTCCTCGAAGTATTTCTGAGCTTCGGTCGTGCGGCCGAAAAAGATCTGGCGACCTTGATAGAGGACAAGAACCTTGTCGAAA